GCCACCTCTGGACGCAAGGCGTCAAACAAGATGGAACGATAGCCAAACTGTGATGCCAATCGCCGACGAATATCCATAACAAGTCGCTTTCTGGACAGATAAGACAGCAGGCCTATCGTACAGAGATGCGACATGTTGTGGTTCTGACACATGGACAGAGGCCATCCATATTTACTCGGGGAGGGGGGTGGCGACGGCTTGACAGGACCACTCCATTTCACATCCAGAAATGGTGCTAGCCAGTGGAATAAATAAAAATAAAAGAAGAACCATTGTGGCTCTTAGGATTGCTTGTCGAGCTACTAGCTTGATATAGTACCTACCAGTACCTAGCTAGCCAAAAACTCCAACGAATTTTAAAAATACGAAGTAAAACACCAGTAACTAGAGTACAACCGTGTCGAAAGACAAACTGTACATATTTCTTTTCTACAAATCTTGTCCGGCAGATAACGTCGGAAAATCAACTTAGCTGGCGTCGGGCACCACTAATGCCAACATGCTTATTTTACTTGCACCTATATACATACAGGGTGGACCAAAAAGGATGGAAACATTTTGAACTCGCATAAAACATGCATTATTGCATGCATGTGACTGGAAATGGTACCAAACGAGAGTACATTTCGTGGAAATTCATAACGGCATCACTCTCATCTGATCTCTCTCGTTCTCAGTCTCTCACAGCAAATGTTCGAAGAGACCGCCTTCGCGAGACAGGCACAGAGCGGCCAGTCTGGTGGTTGACGCGATAGTCCAACGACACATATTCGCTGGTATGGCTCACACAGTCTTGGTGATCGCTCTCTTCAGGTCACAGAGACCTTCCTTGTAGACCTGGCCCTTGAGATGAGATGATAAAGAAGTCACTGCACAGCAGCAAGGTCACCGAAATGGTGTGCCCTCAGCGGAAAAGGAATCGTGGGTCCACTTTGGTTCGAGGAAGGGAGCGGCGACACCGTGACCGTCAATCAACAGCGCATACCAGGCGGCGCTGAGGAAGTTCTGAGAGCGAGTCCAAACAAAGCATGGCAGCCTCATCATAGACCTTATCATCATAATCATATTTATTATGTCGTTCCAGCAAGACGGTGCGCCTCCTCACATCGCAAAAACAACGCTCAAGTGGATCGAAAACCACTTCGGTGACCGGCTGATATCCCGCGGTGCCAGTCGAAACTGGCCTACCTGCTCATCCGACCTGACCTCTATGGATGTTCTACTGTGGGGCCATCTCAAGGGCCAGGTCTACAAGGAAGGTCCAGAAAGCCTCTGAACTGAAGAGAGCGATCAGCAAGGCTGTGTGAGCCATACCGTGTCAGCAGCCAGACCGGCCGCTCTGTGCCTGTCTCGCGAAGGTGGTCACTTCGAACATCTGCTGTGAGAGACTGAAAACGAAAGAAAGCATATGAGAGTGATGCCGCTATGAATTTCCACGAAATGTACCCTCGTCTGGTATCATTCCCAGTCACATGCATGCAATGATACATGTTTTATACGAGTTTAAAATGTTTCCATCCTTTTTGGTCCACCCTGTAGGTACTTGGCGTCATGAGTTGGCTTTATCGACCATGCGGAATAATCAATATCCTCCCTCGGATTCAGGCTAGCAACACAGACGGCGGGGTTGGGGAGGCAGGGGAGTAGGGCGTCGCCGTGGGGGCGGCGTCCTGTGCCAGACAGGGGTGACGTAAGGGGGGAGGACGACACGCCCTTCCGGCGCCATCGATCAACGGTGGAGATGCAGGCTGGCGACTTTGAAAGGGAGCTTCGACCGACTACTGCACCAGTGATGCAAAAGGATGAGTGAGAGCAAATGCAGAATGATGCCAGTACTCCATAAACTGTGGGATACGAATAACACATTAATCTAAATGAAGTGCATGTTATCTTTACAATTTTAAGCACAGTAAGCAATAAGCACGGCTCATCCCCTGGTCGGCGAGAAGAAACTGCACCTCTCCTATCGCAGTCGTCCCGTCCCAACGCACTGATCCGGGCGGCGCCGCCCTGCTATAAATGTCCCATCAATCCCCGATATCCGGGCGCCGTCAGCCGTGGGTGGAGGCACAGGGAGACGCCGCCTGGGCCCGTCCCCAGCAGCAGTCATCGGTGATTGATCGGGGATACCTGCGGCGAACTATGCAGGAGCGTGGTATTCACTTAGGACTAGGAGCGTTCCAGGGCGAATGACTGACGACTGACGAGATACGAGCACTCAGGGTATATGTAGAAAAAAAAAAAACAGAGCACTCAGCGGCGAGCGACTGACGCCATTAGAGCACTCATTGACAGCTAGCAGTGGCATGAGAGCACTACATGGCCATTGACTGCGTGTTGGAAGCCACTCAATGGCAGCTTGTTATGACGAGAGAAATCTCTCTGGTCAGGACAAGGCGATATGGATTTGTCCCCACGAGCCGGACATGAATTATTCCATGAAGTATTCCATGAACCTATCGCGGGACTGAGCCATGGACAACGCGGGCCGCGGCTACTCCCTTGCGTGCGACATCAGCACAGATTTCCGTCTTCTGAGTTGGCTGGATAAATGACGTCGCGAGAAATGAAAACAAATGACCCAATTAGTCCTACTGTGCGCCAGTTATCCCAATGAAAACAAAAGACGCTGCGTGACACAGAAAACGTTAGCTTTACGAGAACATGGAAGGTGGGACTGGTGGAACTCTAGCAGCCTCCAATCAAAACATGACAGAAACGGACATGGTTAGGTGGCATAAGAATACAAAAAAAAGATCGGGCACTCTGAAGAACTTCATAGAAAGAATGATAGTTTGCTATCTTTTGTTTTTCCACAATATTCGCGCGTGTTTGCTGAGCACTCTCTAGCCGTGGATATGGCCACCGACCAAACACACCCCGCCCATCTGCCGGAACACCCACGGCTCCGATAACGCCGTCCGGCCACCCAGCCGGCGTCTGGCCGGTGTTCCAAGACCGTGACAGCCGCTCAAAGCCCATTCCCGTGACCAACGGAAACGACAGCAGAAATCGTGGGATGACCGCAGTACCGCCTCACCGGCTGTCGTTACGGCAGGATCAACATAAAATGTCGCTAGGAAGACCATATAAGTGCGGTGAGATCATGATGCCCCGTGGATAAAGGCATGGACATTGGACGGGATGGGGATTGGGGGTGAGAGGTCGAGTGAAAAATGAGTGGTTTGGAATGGCCAAGGAGTGTCGCCGTAGACAATCGAAATGAAGTGGGTAGTCGACTGATATTTGACAGCTCTGGTAATTTCGTAGGACAAAAAGGTGAAACACGTATTGGCCCAATGACACTCGGAGCCCAATACTGGTCTCTCGGAATTCAATTTGCGGAAACGTGGCGCTCCAAGGCCGTCCAACTGTTCGCTCGCGACCCGTGCCAAACCAGCTCCGGAAATACCAGAGTTAATCACTGCTGAGAGCTGGCCGAAATTCAAATAAGACCCGCAGTCCAACAGTGACACATCTGTTTTAGGTTGGCCGAAGAGAACGGTTGGCATAATAGACGTTCTACCAGTTGAGCGTGAAGACAACAGACCATATGAAAACAACTGTTTGAGGGTCTTGGAATTAACGGCTGATTTGACATTCAACTCAACGCTCTCTGAGACTCGTGTATCTCATCTCTCCACTTCTTTCGGTAATCCCGACGTGGATGTCGATGAGTTTCCCAGTTCAACTCTCTGAAATAACGGGACGCCGCACCGGCAGGTGAAAGCAACGACCGGCTACATTCCCAATCCCAAGGGTCTTGATAACATCGATGTCCCTATCTTCAGTGAACGAAGCCATGTCCAGTATCAAGAAGATAACCGTCACATCAGAGTGACATTTGCGCTGACTCGATCGTCACGCTCCTGCCCGTGACACCGTTACATATCGTCACGGCGTCACGATAGATCTACCAAACATCGTCCACCGTCCGGTGACCGCCGTGACGCCCCCCCCCCCCCCCCCACTGGCTGGTCACCCGCCACCCACGGCGGCGGTTCCAACATACAAACACCGCTGTATGTGGTCACTGGATGGCGTCAGCTGACAGCAGAACGGCTTATACGGATCGTACCGACAGCAGAGGGTCGGGTCACAGTTCACACGGGGCGAGGGGTGGGAGCGCCCACAGTATGACCACCAGCGCGGTACCGAGGACGGTTACGTGACGAGTCGGCCAAACCTAGTTATAAAGATCGTCCAGAGCCGTGAGCCTCGGCGCTGATTTACGAGTATCGGTCACTTCAGCGGCCCAGGGCGGTGAGACACGCTAAGATGTGATCAAAATGGCACAAAGTAGAGTCACTAAGCGGAAAATGTTACCTGAGGCCTTCTCACAGATCAAAGAACTGATGGGATGGGACATAGCAGAAAAAGTCAGGCAGAGTTTGCCGTAATGTCAGGCTCTCAAGCAGGGCATGTCTGCACTAGAATTGTTCTCAAGTAGGAGGAATAACCTGCTGAGGCAATGCAGATTTAATGCAGACTTTGTGGTGAAGAGCTGAATATAAACATGTGAAAGTTGCATGACAATACACTGTGTGCCTACATGGAATTGATGCTAAAGCAACGGGACAAATGGGCAAAAAATGTTCCAAGCCATCGCTTATTTAATCCAGTTACAATGGCATACCAAAGTTCCTCACTGTTGGCATAAGAATATCACAAATCTCTGTCAACTAGCCTGTTTGTGTTTGAGAATTGCAAAAATATTCCATGATAGGCTGCTTCACAAGCCTAAAAGAATCACAACTCTTTTTTGACATAAAAGATAAGTCATAGAAGAAAATAGCAGTCCTAAGATGCAAGTTTAGGTTAGCCAGTTCATATGAACCTATCTTGATCTAGACTGATAAGTGATAATAGCCTAGCGTAAGACAAAATGTAAAGCACATAATGATGCTGAAAAATGAACAAACACACCCAAACAAATGAGACAAGCCTCACAGGAATGCATGATCCCATCAGCTTATATCTGCTGAATGATAAACACTTACTCTTCTTCTCCGCCCTCCGTTGAATCATCCCAGAGGACCCTGCGCTGGGCTCCTGGATTTTGGTCTTTCTTCTTCCAAGGTGTTGGCTTCCCTACATCACCACCAGCACACATTGCTTCATATGCTAACTGCTTATCATCCATTTTGAATACAAATAATATCACTAAGACCCAGTGTGAGTTTGAGCTAGATAAAGTCTGAAAGCTTGGGGCCTGGTCTGTGGGCTACAACTCTTTGGCGAGAGCGGGTTTTTCCTGGGGTTAATTGAGTGATGATCAGGATAGAAGTAGTCACAGTCAATGAATATAAAAAGGGCAAAATCAGCAGCAGCACTAAAAGCTCATAACCCCCACTCCAATCGCCATCTCGCACGCCCACCTCCGCCCGCAGCTCGCAAGAACTGGCGCACCCAGTCAAATTGGAGTTTGTTTACAGTTCAAGGTCCGTTTGATTGATTTCGAAAGGAGTGTATGACGTCATATAAGGTTTTGGTGACTTTTGACTCTTAGTTCTCAGTATAAAACGCGATGACCAAATATTTTGACGATGTATGAGAATTCAAACCCTAAAAATTATATTTTTAATATATTCACGGTGAAGAATAGGCACAACACCGGGAGTACATATTTTGACGTCACTTAATATCACTCAGCTGGAAATTTGGAGACAAACAAGAAGGATCAAAGACAAAAAACAGGTGTTCTAAATTTCTAGAACTATTTTCGTCAGCAGCAAAATATCGTATGATGATGTCATTAGCACAATGGCCACCAATGAAACTGCACATTGCTGCTCATGAAAGTAGCGATGACGTTATTCTTGTAAAGCAAGTCAAGCTCCGAAAATAGCAGTAGCTGGCTTCGAACAAAAAAAGAAGTATATTTGGAGTGGCGTTGGATTGGGAGTTGGATAACAAATAGGATAGGGTGACTGAGAGCTGGCACTTAACGGTGAAAATACAAAGAATAGTCATATAACTTTGAAGTAACAGTGACAAAGTGTCGTTTTACATTTTTGTATGATTTTTTTTTTGCATAAATTGTTTTGTTTTTAGGCAGACTGTCGACTGAAACAATACTTCAAGCTGGATTTACCCACCTTGACCTAGTCTGAAAAAGAGGCAAATCAAAGCTGAAACACTCTAAGAAATGACCAGATAATGTATACCAATGCTTGTTATCATATTTAATGTCAACAGGACTTTCAAGATAAATAAAAGCTAATTTTTCTCAATTGTTTCGGATGCTGTAATGCAGACTGCCAGTTGTGCTTTGTCGCTAAAGCTGCTAAGGCATCTGAAGCAGTCTATGTCATGTGCTGAGGAGTCAGGACAGGCTGTGATGGTTTGATATTGATATGATGGTGTGCAATTGCAGCACCACTTTGAATCATTCCTCAAAACTCAGCAGTGATGTTGATGCATTTGACCTGAGATGATCATTCCGATCCTTTTAATGGACTTGGACTCTACAGGTGTTTGCACAGAGATATGACAATAAATCATGAATTATCAGCTGTCATCTGTAAGGTGACTGACTGTTACTTCAAACCTCCTGGTGGCTATCATTGGAACTGAGAACTCTGCTGAAAATATTGCTCTTCTTGCACAGGTCCTGACCTTTCCATAAGAGCAGCCGAGATGCCACAGAAGTATGATGTGGATGATGAGCCTATCGCTCAGCAAACTGTGCCCTGCCAAGGGCTGAGAGAGGAACTGAAAACCTGCATCATGAATAGTCCATGTGTCAAGGTGAGTAGGGAAGGAAGGACTGTAGTGACTAGGGTATTTTTTTGTTACTTTTCATGTAAAGTAGTGTGACTCTGGTATTTTTTTGTCACTCTTAGGGCAACTGATCGATATTTTGTATCTATCAGTAAGATATAGCAATTGATAGTATTTTGGTACCTACTCTTGTTGTCAATGAAGATAGGGTGAATTCTGTCATTAATTTGACAATCATGCGTGATATCAGCAGTCAGAAGCTGAGATACTCTCTGCTTGTCTCTAGTGATTGATGAAGTATATAATAAGTCAGCGATCGCGTAGTTCGCGATCGCCCATTCACGTCCCCTCTCTCTCTCCGCCGGCAGGGCGGCCGCCTGCCCAAGGACTGTCTCACCCACCCGGATCACACCGTCCCCGACGAGTGCCTCCAGCTCAAGTGGTCCTTCTTCGAGTGCAAACGGTCGCTGGTGAGTACGCCATTGTCTTCCTGATGTCTGAATCCACATCCTGCTGGCGTTTGTTCATCACTTTATCGTAAAACGTCGTTGGGCGTGGGCAGTAGCGCCACCTGAATAGAACACAGCTTCGGTCGTTCACCAGAAGGTGGCGTAGTTGTCGCCTTTACCGCTCCGATATCATAGCATAGTGGCTCGGCTCCATAAATGAAGCTGCTTGGCTTTCAAATTCTGATCAGGCTCTCTACCTAGTAAGGATGCTGCTTAAAAATAACATTTTAATAGCTATTTTCAGAGCTGTTATTACTTTAGAATACTCAATCATTTAACTTTGACAAGGGACAGTGTTTTCATGAGGAATGATTCCCCTAAGTTTCCTTGCCGTGCCTCCCAGCCTTTTGCACCACCATTTGTGCCGGTCCTCAATTCATCATTGCTTTTTATGAATTAATCCCGCCGTATTATTTTACCTTGTTCGACAAGATTGCGAGTTCCGACTTCCGAACTCGCTAACTCCATCCACCCAACTCCGTGGTTTGTGTTAAAGGTTCCGTTCCACTCCATCCCATGTTTCGGCTTCCGCCATGCGTCATGCTCCTGATGATGTTTATGGAGGTTTCGTTTTCCTAATATCGGATCGGCCTCGGATTCCAGCTGTTTTGTCGAGAATCTTGGCTCCGGTCAGGTCTTTATTTCGCCTTGTTCGATGTCATTATGTTCCACAGTTCCTCGAGGTCCTCGTACCACATTCAGTCAGGTTTTTTCCTCTGTCATTGTCTGATTTTTTTTTCGAACTCCAAGCTATACCTTAGCCTGAAGTGTAGCATTTTGCGCACTTTTGCACATTTTTACTTAAATACATTCCGTTTGTTTTCATGGACACGGGTTGATCCGACCATATTCATTATTCATTCAGTCCATATTCATTATTCATGTTTGCTTGTTCCTAACTTTTTCCGGGGAATCATGGTTGAAAGTGAAACAACAAAGCAGTGTGGAGGGGTATCTTCTCACCTTTTCATTGTTTCTAATGACTTTCTTTCTTTGTTGCAGCTGGATGCTCGGCAAAGGTTTCGCGGTCGCAAAGGCTACTAGATTTATTATCTCGTCGATAGTCTTTCTTTTCAGTTACGCAAACGATCGTATGAAATTGGCGTCTGATTGCTTCATGTCGATCTTGGCGCCGAAGATTGCTGCTCGTGTCGTGTGTCGAGAGTGTCGAGAGGGGCTGGACTTGTCGTTTTCCAAGCGATTCAGTCCGTTCGGTGATGCGTGACTTGGGTGCCTACCTGTGAATTCGAGTGAAACTGTGAGGGGTAGTCAACGGAACTGTTGGAAATCGTGATTTGTTTGTGTTAAATATAGTTAGCGACATTTGTAAATGCTGCATTACATGTCCTCTGGTGCTATGCTGAGATAGAGCCCGGCTGACGAAGTTGAAACATATTCTATTCGCTGGAACTTAACATTCACTCAATTTCACCGCATTTCTGGCAATTCCTGATGCTTTTGTCATGGATCATCAAAGCGGCGCATGACATTAATATAAGCTTTGATATCATATTACAAAGCTCACTATCGCTTGGTGATACGGCGGTCTACTTGTGCCGTTTATTTCAAGGATATTAATGTCGTGTTGGGTGAATATCAGCCAACTTACAACACGGGTCAGTCAACGACCGGCCAGACTAAGCCGCTGTCCCACAGTTGGCTAATGTGTTTGTCGAAATACACCCCTCCGCCCCCTGTTCGTAATGCCTAGTTACGGGGATAGGATTAGCCATCTCATTAGGGAGTTGCACTATGTCCGGAGTCGGACACGTTCAGCCGAGCAACAGCGTCGTCATGGCAACCAGACAATCCGATCACGCAAACCTGCATGTCCGGGACCGTGCCAAATAAGCACCTCCCGGCTCCCGTGGAGGAGGTCATTGACATTGTAATACTTCCTGAGCTTTTTATCGAATACGGATGATGCTCCTTCGTGCTCCTTTTGAATTAGCCCTATTTAGCATATACGACCTGATGTGTAGCTGATTATGTAGTGCTTCAACGATCGAATTTACGGAAGTCAGTTTTTTTCTGGGAATGTCAACGAATAGTGCACATAGTTTAATAACGGTGTTGGACATACGAAGACACCTAGACTGCTCAACTTAATAAAGCCTCGTTTGAACTCGGGTGCGCTTGACATTAGAAGACCGTTCCATCAAGTTCAGGTGATGACTACTTTTGATACACAAAAATTGATGTTCGGCGGGAGTGGCAGCGTCTGTGTGAGATAAGCTAGTCGCTGACTAAAGCGACACGAATGAGGCTTTACCAGGTCGAATGTTGCTGGAGCTGTGAGTTCGATATCAAAGAGTTTATTTTATGCGACTGTGAATTTGTATCCGCGAGGAATTAAAGGAATGAGGAAACTTTAATCGTACTGAGAGCATATGTGGTGTCGTTTGAGATGCGCAGGAAAGAGGCAGGTATCTAGGTAGGTACTTATCATTGCTTGCTTAAAACGTATAATTGAATTCGGAATGGCCAAAATAATCCACCAAAAGGAAACAAGATCGGGCAACTAATAAATTAATTTGTGTGAATTTTCAGCGGGCTTAACTTCATGAAACCAGCCAATGCCAGTATTCGTGCCGCGTGCGAAACTAAGCTAATTCAAGCACGAAAGGTTATTTGTCTGGTCCTATTCCTTTGCCTTTTGTACGGTGTGTATAGTCTTGTGTTGGAGTATGAGCCTGATATAATTTAAGAGTATTAGGATGGGGGGATCGCCGTAAAATTTGTTACCTTTCTCGCTGGGCGGGAAAGACAAAGCTTCCTCGGAGCTCGGAATTCAGCCTGTCCTGAGCAGGCTGTCTCAATTCGTGGTTTCGTGTTTGCGTGAAGCCGGTGGAACATCAAATAATTAGTTCGTGGCTGTGGGTTGTGTCGGCGGAAAATACGGCTGCAGCCTGGCGGAAGGAACTAATTGGTGTGGACGTCAGAGCCCCCCCCCCCCCCCCCCCAGCGCATAATGCTGATTGTGGCGCCGAAGTTGAGCCATTTGAAAACGAAAAGTCTGTCTGCTACAATTGAATTCTCTGTGATATCAAACAGAGTGTATCAACATTGTGGTCTCTCGGAGACTGGTGAGGCATAATTCCATCAGTCGTGCAAAATATGACAACCGGTCAATATGCTTTCAATAAGCACCTTGAGCTTGTTACTATACCTCTTCGTTCTTCATACCACGAGTAATGTAATGATCCCTCTGTTTGTTGATATGTCCCCAAACTACCAAGCACCAGCTGTTTGAGGTTGGCACAAGTGACTATTCAAGTGACACCTGCCCCAAGATGACCACTGTGACCGCTCAGGTGACACCCACTCCCCAACCCTCCCCCATTGGCACCGGATCACTGAGCCTCGACCTTGAGGGTGCGCGTGGCTCTGGCGTGCGGCGGCCGGGCCAGGTCGGCCGAGGTCAGCGCGCGGCTAGCCGGGGGCGGCGCCTGCGCGTCGCTCCGTCGATGCGCGGCGCGCCGACAGAGCGCTGTTCGTCGGTCCCGGCAGCGGCGGCGGACCGCGAGCGGCCGAGGGCGGCGCCGAGCGAGCCCGCAGAGCCGAGCTGAGTCGCTCTTGGCGAGTCCCAAGCCAAGCCGAGTCGCTCTGGGCGAGCCCCGGGCCGAGCCGAGCCGAACTCCGAGCGAGCCCCGGCCCAAGCGTGGCAGGGAGCGTGAGAGAGTGATCCGGAGAGTGAACTGTGAGTGAGTTGGAGGAGTGAGTGAGCTGCCGAAATGGGGAGACCTCCGGCGCCGGCCGTACTGCTGCTGACACTGGGAGCCGCGCTAGTGGCCGGTGAGTAACGCCCTCCTCTCAGAAGTGAGCGGTTGTATCCGGCCAATATTACGTATCCGGCGTAACGCTGACGGGATGATAGTCTCAATCGGGGAGCAATGGATCACTCGTGGTCGCGCTTCGCTGTAGCGCTGCAGCGTTTCATTAGACTGTGAGTGGAATTGTGTTCAGATCGTTTCACCCTGTTGGCATTACGCCTGGATGAAGCGAGCGGTGAGCTGAAGCCGGACATTGAGACGGAAGTGTGTTTTGACGGAACGGCGGGCGCTACGTAGTAGGTATTTTAGAGGAAGTGCAACAAAAACGTTGGCCTTGGAGCCGTGAAACGCAGAATGTCGCGTCCGGCTTTATTTCTGGATGGGTCCGGTGATATCTGGTTAAAGAAACTAAATCGATTGGATAATGTATATAGCTGTTACATTTGGTGTCGGTTAAATAATCGGTGGGTGTTAAACCATGAATGAGGCCCGAAGCAGATAGAGCTCCATTTCAGGGCAGCTGACACCGTGAAGTTTTCTCATGTGGTTATAATTATCCGTTTGTCCTAGACTGGCTCGATCTGCTGTTGCATTCACGGGCATGCTAGACGTAATGGCGATCGGAGGAAGTTTATAGCCCGTCTACCACACTAAAATGCAATCGACTGCATTCTGTAACCGCGCTCCATAGCCAGCACGGGTTACGCCGTGCCCGCGTTAGGTCTCGCCGCAGTCCCCTGAGGACCAGCGGCGCAGCCGAGGACCAGCTACCCCCCCCCCCCTACTGGTCCGTCAGGGCGTGGTCAGAGGCACTAAGAGCGGGCAATAACACATCGGTCACGGCGAGTGGGGCATCCATCGTCACCGGCCCGCCTCCTGCACATTACCGTGGTGGCCGGCTCGGAAATGTTGCAATACATACACGAAGCGTTTCGTGACACTGCAGTGCAGGGAATGCAGGATCGTGCAACATATTAATTTGCGATGAAATATGCATTTACTGGAATAGTTGTTCTAATTGAATAATTGATGTGTTGCGTGGAATGGATAATAGCGTATGTGCAATTATCCATACCTACGTGTCATCCTACCCTTTTTTCCTGGCGTAATGCGGGGGCTGATTTTGCACTTAGGTGGTCAGTGGACTTTCTATTTTGGGACATGACCATTCCCATGCAAATGAAGCCCTCTGATCTTTATAATAGCACCCTACGCGCACGTGCATTGTTCTGGTATCGACCCCGGGCGCCCGGTCGAGTGTCCCGGCCTGCCCTTTGCCGCGCGACATTCAGCGGTCCGCGATTTCGGCTAAAGTTCAGCGGCGGTTATGAGGACCACTCGGCCAGCTTACGAGCCGGAGATAATGAGACAAGAAAGCTGGCTGGCTCAGTGGTGGGCAGTTCGGCGGCAGTTGGGCGGCCGATCTCGGGAAGATTGCCAGCTCGCTCCTCAGTCGAGCGGTGAACGCCGTGCGTTTACACGGCTATCCAAACTGGGTGAGATTTGCGGAGATGTCGCGGGGTGTCCGCGGTCGTTTGGGTTGATATAGTCGTATAAACGAAAATGCGATGGTCGTGGCAGGTTTGTGGTGCGCTATGGATGGCTACTAGTTCAACATATTTTGTTTTATACGCAGTGTTATTTCCAGCAGTGACATTGTTTCATTTGGCGTGATTAGTGATCTGAAAACAAGATGACTTCCATAATCAGTGGCTCATAAATACACGAAATCGAGGTTAATAACTTGACCTCCATAGATTATTGACCTGCCAGTTTCCTTTTCTCTTTCTGTCTCTCCTTTCCTCTCTTCCCTCCCTTCCCTCCCCTCTCTCCCCCTCCCTCTCATGGCCCCACTCCGGCGATCTTTTCGTCCGCTCACGTCCACGGCTTGGGTCGTGCTCGACCGAATCTTGCCTGCAGTTCGGAATCTGAGTCGGACAGAATGCCGCCAAGTTCTGAGTGGACTCGGTCAGGGAGCGTTTCTCGGAATTGGTGCCGCTCGTTCCGGCGGCTGGGTTCGGCCGTGTCGGTGAAGTGCGCCCCCGCGGCGCCCCCGCGGCGCCCCGGGCGCCATGTATCGACTGGCTCGGCGGCGGCGCAGACGTGACCGGTGACGTCAGAGGTCGTTCGTCAGCCGGCGTCAGCGAGTCGGCGCCCGAGGGGGGTAGGGGTCTGACCGGGTTTGACCTGTGGGTGTTCCTACCGGCCGCGGCTGGAAGCGACGCGGTACGCTGGACGGAATTCCCGTGGATGGATTTGCTCATGGTTATTTTTGCAATATCATCTGCATTCTTCCCTGCAAGAACTGTGAGGCTGACGCATGACGGCAATATTTTATTCTCCCAGCTTTCTCTGTGATTCATGACCAGGAGTCGACTCAGCTCCTTGATGTTGAACATTCATTTTTCCTCCGACCGCCGCGGCTTGCCCTAACACCGCTGAACTGTTTGAGGACACCGACACATCAGCGAACCGATGGTTCCTCTCCTGCTAACGATGGCGACAGAACGCTTTTGTAAACCTACAGTCCTCTGAGTGTGGAAAGTGTCATTGCCTGT